AAGTTAGGTTAAGGTAGGTTAGGTTAGTTTGGATTGGGTTAGGTTACGATACGTTAGGATAGGTTGGATTACGTTGGGTTAGGAAATGATATGTTAGGTTAGGTTGGGTTGGTTTTGGTTAGGTTAAGATAGGGCAGTTCAGGTTAGGTTAGGATAGGATATGTTAAGTTAGATTAGGTTGGGTTAGGTTAGGTTGCTTTAGGTTAGGTTAGGTTAGGAAAGGTTAGGTTGGGTTAGGTTATGATAGGATAGGTTATGTTGGGTTAGGTTAACTTAGGCTAGAGACAGTGTCATACAAAGACCGGATCTTACTGAGACAGGATCAGTTAGACAGGCTACGTCAAAGACCGGATGAGGATAGAGCACAATGCTGAGAGCGATCGGGTTTGGAGAATTTTTGGAAAAAAATACGAAATTTTTCCAAATTTTCAAAAAAACAAAAAATGCTGTAAATTGTAAAAAATCGCACAAAAGAAAACAAATTGGAAAATTTTACCTTCAATTTTTGTTTTCAAAAATTTCGGAAATTTTTGGCTTTGTGCGCTTTTCAGATAATTTTCCGCGCTTTTGATTCTTCAAAAATTTTATTTCTTTTTAGAATTTTCATTTGTTGATACATACAAGAACCGGTCTCTGACAAACTCGATGTAACAAAGGCACGGTCTCTCTCACCCGATCTCTGCTTCAACTGGTCTTCTTCAGACACGTTCTCTGCTTCACACGGTCTCTGCAAGACTCCGTATGTCTCAGAGGTTAGGTTGGGTTAGGTTAGGTTAGGTTATGTTAGGATAGGTTAGGTTGGATTAGATTAGGTTAGGTTAGATTGGGTTAGGTTGATAGGTTAGATTAAGATATGATAGGTTAGATTAGATTAGGTTGGATTAGGTTAGGATAGGTTAGGTTAGGTTGGGATAGGTTAGGGTAAGTTAGGTTACGTTAGGATAGGATAGGTTGGGTTAGGTTAGGTTAACTTTTGTTGGAGACAGTGTCATACAGAGACCGGACCTTACTGAGACAGGATCAGTCAGACAGGGTATGTCAAAGACCGGATGAGGCAGAGCACTTTGGTGACAGCGATCGGGTGGGGAGAATTTTTGGAGAAGATATGAAATTTTTCCAAATTTTCAAAAAATCAAGAAATGCTGGAAATTGTCCAAAAAGCGCACAAAACCAAAAAGAATTGGAAAATTTTACATTCAAATTTTTTTTTCAAGAATTAACCGGTCTCTGATAAACTATATCTAACACAGGCACGGTCTCTCTCATCCGATCTGTGCTTCAACCGGTCTTCGTCAGACACGTTCTCTGCCTCACACGGTCTCTGCAAGACTCCGCATGTCTCAGAGTTTAGATTGGGTTAGGTTAGGTTTGGTTAGGTTAGGATTGGTTAGGTTAGGATTGGTTAGGTTAGGTTGGGTTAGGTTAGGTTGGGATAGGTTAGGTTAAGTTATGTTAGGATAGGTTGGGTTAGGTTAGGTTGGTTTAAGTTAGGTTAGGTTAGTATAGGTTACGTTGTTAGGTTAGGCTAGGTTAAGATATGATAGATTAGGTTGGGTTAGGTTAGGGTAGGTTAAGTTAGGTTTGGTTAGGTTAGTTTGGGTTAGGTTAGGTTGGGATAGGTTAGGTTAGTTTAGGTTGTGTTAGGTTAGGATAGGATAGGTTAGGTTATGTTAGGTTATGTTAGGTTAGGCTAGGCTAGATACCTCCTGTTAGAGACTGGGTCATACAGAGACCTAGTCCGGCAGAGACTGTGTCCATCTGCGACAGGGTACGACAGAGACAGTGTCTGGCAGACACAAGTTAAGGTAAGGAACGGTGGGGAAATTTTTCAAAATTTTCAAAAATTTTCAAAAATTAAAAAATGATGGAAATTGGCAGAAAAGTGCACAGGACTAAAAAAGAATTGAAAAATTTCAATTTCAAATAATTTTCAAATATATCGAAAGATTTTGGTTTTGTGCGCTTCTTGAACATTTTCCAACAATTTTTCATATTTTGAATTTTTTTCAAAATTCTCCGCACCCGGTCTCCACCGGACCCGGTCAGGTACCGACGTAGGTCTCGGCCTCGTTGAGACAAGTCTGCGCCAAGACACGGCCTCGTCGATACGCAGCATCGCGGTAGCAAGTATTATGGGCAAGGACAGAGGTGTCTATGTAGCCATAGTAACAGGCCTAGCCAGAACGGAGTATGGATAAATTAGTATGAGCATTTGCAAGATTTGTCTCTGTGGCTATTGGAATTGGAATGACCAAGAGGTTTTATAGAGCCGTTATTTTGGGCATTGACATATGGGTCTATATAGTACTTAATATGTGCATGATCATGTGGATCTATATAGCTATTATTAAGTGCATGTTTCCCAGTTTCTATAGAGCCATTATTATGGGAATGGCCAGATTTCTATATGGTCAGTATAATGGTCATGAAGAGAGGAGTCAACAGCCAGTATTGTGATCACGGCTAAGATCATCTATACCCATTACAGTGGGCATGTTCAGAGTGGTCTAGATAGCCATTATTATGGGAATTATCATGGGTATTGTTAGCCCATTGTATGGGAGTGGTGAGATAGGTCTACATAGAGTGTGTTATGGGAATGACCACAGGCTATATGTGCAGGACTGTAACTCAGATGAGAAGAATTTCTGGACCTATGTCAGTACTACCTTCTTTCATCCTCAGAGTTATTAGAACATGCTCTCGAAGTTTGGCCAGACATTTAAGGACCACTCTGTAGAGACATCTACTCATTGTTATAATATTGTAAATATAGAAATATCTGTCCATGTTTATTATAGTGGCTCCATTGACACCTCTGTCCTGCTGCATATTTTTGCTTTTTGACATATCTGGCCATAACCATAGAACTGGCTATACAGAACTATCTAGTCATGGCCTTTATAATGACCATTACCATGCCCATAATAGTGGCAAAAAGACTGTTTTGGCATTTCCCATAAAACTGGCTGTTTATACCCAAAATACTGGTTCTTTTGTCACTTTCTCTATCCCCATAATACTAGTAACATCAACCCCTTATCCAGCCTTAAACTACTGGCTATATCTACCATGCACACGTGCACACAATACGAAGTGCGACAATTAAATTACCAGAATGCCCGCTCACATATGTCACGTCGAGTACCAAGTGAGCAATAGCTTGGCAGTGACATGTTACGACGTGTGTGGTGAAGCAAACAAGGCAGTAGTAATGAAGCAATAGCAGCGTTACATGAGCATTTTCATCCCGATAGAAAAATGAGAGACAGATTGTTGGAGCAGTGCACTGACATCAAGTTTTGCGCAAAGTTAGGAAAAATCAGTAGTGAAACTCTGTAGATGTTAACAGAGTCTTACGGTACAGACGCTATCAAAAAGTTTAATGTCTTTGAGTGGCATAAAAGGTTTAAAGGGGGCGCTCATATCACAAGCCCAAGTGAAGATAATGCTCATTTATTTTCTGATCACAAGGGCATTGTTAACTTTTAGTTTCTTAAAGAATGCCAAAAAGTGCATAAATATTGTTATTTGGAAATGTTGGCAAGGTTACATGAGTCTGTTTGTTGGAGAAGACCACAACTTTACCTGTGCTCATGATTTGCTTGCTGTCCAGGAGTTTTTGGCAAAAAAATCAATATTGAAATTTGACCATCTACCATAAAATGGCAGATCTAGCCCTGTATGACTCGGCTATTTCCAAAACTGAAGACAGCTTTGAAGGGCCACAGATTATCAGACATTGATGACATTCAGGGACATGAGACAACCATCCCAATGAGCATTCCAGAAGAGGAGTTCCAGAAATATTTTGAGCAGAGGAAACACTGACTAACTAAGTGTTTTGGTGCACAAGGAGACTACTTCAAATGTGAAAGCAACCATTAGTGTGTAAGTAATTAAATGCAGCTTCTATGTTGCATTCCAGGAACTTAATTATTACACCTTCTACTGTGTATACGAGGGGTGTATACAAATGATTTAGACTGGAGTTACGATTTCAACCTGGCAGGTGGCAGCAGTCCGCTGCCTTGGTGTAATCCGAGTGTTCTGTTCTATACTGTCACACACCTATGGCTATATCATGGTTATGTCATTGTACTTACAAGGCTGTTGTTCAGGAGGCTGACAGTGTTTGGAGATAACACTCCAGGAATCAATGCCATTGTTTTAATGATGCCAATAAGTGTCCCTGAAACATTCAAATGATACTGGCTGGATAGCCTTCAACAAAAAATTGTTATGATCATTGCATTCACCTACAATATACCTCATTAATTCACAATTGCCCTACCATATTTTATTCTGTCCTATGCAACCTCAGAAACTGATAAAACAGCTGGGTAACTAACCAACAATAAATGTTTTAAGATAGTTGTCACTGTTGTTAAGGACCAAAAAAGATTTTATATGCATTCTTCTAATAACAATACTACGAAATATGCCATACAATAGTAATATACTTCTCCAGGTTGTGTAAATGTATGAGTGAAATATCATTGTATATCTCTGTAGATAGCAGCACAGTAACCTCCCCACCCCTAAACAGATGGACCATACCCCAATGTTCTACAACACACCACAACATAAACAACTCAGAAAAAACACACAAAGACTCATCAGGCTGTGCTAAAATCATTTTGGTAAAATTTTTGGGTTTTTAACTACTAACTAAACTAGAAATGTTTGAATATATAGTTTTATCATTATTTATGGGCATTGGGGAGGACATCCTTAGTACCATGACATAGAAACAGGGAAGTTAACCAGATAATGGCCCCATTAGTCCAGAATATGTTGTTCAAGTGAAAAGAGCATGTTAAAAGTGATGTACAGGAAATGCCAACAATCAAGTACCTGCAAAGTTGGGACTGAGATCAACAATATTGGGCAAACTGCCTGAAGAGCTGGCTCCTCCCACTGCAGAAGCCAAAGCTAGCAGTACTACAGCAACTGTTGCACTACTTTTGCTGAGGAATCCGAGTACTACAAGCAGTACAGCAGGGATAAATTCACCTGTCAAACAGAATATCGTAACTCTCAGATGTCTGCAAACAGTCTTAGTACAAATTTATTTCCTTGTTCTGACTCTTACACATGCTTTCATCTAATCATGTACTAATATAGCAGGCCCCCTTGAAGGAAACTAATGTATCAATAATATGTACTAGGGATCCTTTAGTTCATCTAGAACAGACTTTACTGATTCAGCATCACACAATGAAAACACATTACATACAGCAACAATAAAATTCTTTTACAAAATTTATGCACACTTTTATTTTCAATTATTATAGTGTACTTACTTGTGGCTACAGAGATTTTGCGAACTACAGTTATTGACAAATATTTATTGCGCAACATGTAGTCCATTACAGTAGAGAAAGCAAGACTGAAGGCAAACTTGCAGAGTTCAGGTATACCAGAAACAAAGCCATTCTGTAACAGAGAAACAAAACCCTTTGCAACTATTTGTCTGCAAGTGAACAAAGAGTTAATACTGTAGTGAGGCAAAATACACATGGTATCCTGTATGAAGAATATTTGACTCACTGACTGATTGACTCTATGACGCGACAGCCCGAAGCCAAGCCTTGGCCTCTTCCCATGTGGGAGGTTTCTTTGTCTGTGAAGTGTACATTTATGAGTAGCGAGTGACAAGCCTGTCGCCATCGGTGGACTAGTGGGTTGTGTACTGAAACCTGGCCGAGGTTGGTGGATTTTTAAGGGTGATAAAAATCCATAGCACAACTTGCTTTGGAAGGGAAGTAAAGCCAGCGGTCGTAGATATACAGCATGTAAAAGGACTTTACGAGTATGGACGAGATGTTTTGCAAGCAAAATGCAGCTGCTATTTCTCACCCAAGTCTCCCGATTGACTGCTAGATGGTTCTGGCATTCAAATCGGGATTGATTAGAAATTGTGCAGAGTCAGTGGGCTGGACACTCACTACTCACAAATTCACACTTCAAAGACCGAGAAACCTCCATAGAGGCGGCCGAGACCCACACCGGGTAGTAAAGCCAGTGATGATGATGAGTGACAAGCCCACTGCCTCTGCACAATTTCTACTTAACCCTGACATACACTCACATACAATAATTTTTTGTATGCTAATTTGCAGACTAGTTCTTTACTAAGCTTTCCATATAATATCCTATTAACAATACAACAACATAGAAAGTTTTTAAAATAATATATAATTCTAACACATTCACTGATAATATTAGTACCTGATACAAGGACAGTCTGAAACATTACAGCATTACATTACAATATTTTGTCTTGCCTGTAAAAGAAGTCATTCAATTGTTCCAAAAATTTATGATAACAAAGTAAGTAAAATTACTCGAAAATCAAAATAAGTACAAATTTTTTTCAATTGACACTTCTCATCCATGCCCATTTATATGCTCCATTATCCTATAATGGAGGATTTAAAGCGGTATAAAAACAAGGCTTTGTCAATCCCTGGGATTGGGATTAGCCCCGCCTATGGCACCCAACAGAATAGGTATTTTTACCTGAAGACTAAAGCAGAGCCAGGTCTGGAAATATAGTGGTCTTAGTTTGGAATGTCAAATGATGAATCAAGTCCATAAAAAGAACAATGTTGAATGTAATGTACCATCACTGGAATATGTTAATTATTTTATGTAACTTTATTTAATTATTGCTACTTAGCACTTACTTACTTACTACTTACTCCATGGAGCCAAGTCAATAGTCGCTCAGTTACTCAAGAAATTCCCAACATTTTATGCCCAAAGGTTCTTACCGCATTCACAAGAGCCCACCACTGTTCCCTCCACACCACCCCACGCTGCTTAGCACACAGGATTAAATTGACATCTACATTACTGGCAGTTATTGAGTTAATACTTACCGTTTTGATATCCAGCATGTAAACACTTCTGAAATAGGCAGGCAGTTGCATGGTTAATGTGATGGTTCCCCACATGAGACCCTGTGAGGCAAACAGTACAGCCCAAAATGGTACTGACAAGAGAATCGATGACCAAGGGGTTTGTAATGGAGGGTCCTGTAAAAGATTGTTGTTACTTTAAAGTCAGCCCTTATACTTCTGTATATTTATTGGTTAAAGAGGTAAGGAACTGTAAAAAGATTTTAAGGAAAGCAGAAACAATTTTGGATTCGGGATGAAGGGTATTACTTTGAATATTTCATTAAATTAAAAGTGCTTCTTTTCCATATCTTTGAATTTCCAAATTTGAGACAGTATAATATCTCTTGAATAATGTGTCACTGGTAAGAACTTGTAGGTGACTGAAAAGTATAACAGTACTTACAACCTCTGTTTTACAATGCAGTCCTATTTTGACAGGTAAAATAGGATTTTTTCATGCTTCATTACTATCCAGAAGCACAGGATCCAACATACAAGACCTGACAAATAACCACGTTGATGTCAGATTTTAGGTGGGAAAATATGGATTGTGGTTTTTTGAGTTACAACACCATATATTTTTGTACGAGATTACCAACCTTTTGGGGGAACTTCGTAGCTCCATATTTCTAGTATAAGTGAAGATGGAGGTGACAAATTCCTCTGAGACGCTGGTAACTGTCAACAAGTTTACATTGTGTAATAACTTGAAAGACCACATTCCTAAACAGGCTGATAATTTTGTACAAAAAATTGCAACACTGATAAGTTGGCATGTGTGGCAAAAACATGATACATTTTGAAATTTTACAGAAAGTTAGGAACTGCTATTGATGAACTTGAGAAACTCACGTAGGCTAAGTAATTTATTGTTTACAGTACGCACCAAGTTCTTACTTTCCTAGGCATATATGTTCTAAAGAAGTTCTGAATTCAGGTACTCTACATGGAAGTCAATTACAGGCTTTATTTGGAAATGCGTGCTTTAGCTGTTTGTCAACTGACAACTTAATTAGCAAAATAATTGTCATATTTCCTCTTAAAATTTCTCAAATACCTTGTGGGAAGCAACAGAGTCTCCAATAACACGTTCCAGGTACTTCCGTTCAGCGTCCGATATCCGTGGGTGCTGTGCGGGAGAGTCATACACAAGATACCACCAGAAAGCATACCACGTCAGCGTGAGAGCTCCAGTCACATAGAAAACATACTGCCAATCCAATACAGCCATGAGAAGCCCACTCAAAGGATATGTTAATGCTGTACCAACAGCAGACCCTGTAAAACACCAAATCACACTGTTATTCAAGATAACATCATGTTATAAATCTTTTCATTCTCAACTAAAGAAACCGTCCAGAAAACAGTGTGCTCTATTAGTCTTGGAAGTAAAATGTCCAACACTGCACATAAAATGAAGATCACTAGAACACTGAATCACATTCTGGACAGACTTTCCTTGCAACATTATCAGCCCTTTGAAGTTGCAACTTATCAAAATAATATTTAAGAACTCTGTCTATACATCAAATAAAACACAACACTTCAGCATTACAAAGATCAGTTTCTTAATCTGTTTAAGGAAATAACTATTGTTTACGCTGATAATAATACAAGACACATAAATATAAAATGTACAGTTCAAGCAGATGGTACATACTTAGTTCCCATTCAGCTTTAAGCAGTTAATGTGAGATATTCTATACCCAAACAGGACTCACTTATAGGAATTTATACAAGTGAGTCCTGTTTATTTTCTTATAATATCTTAAAAACTTATTACCCTAAAAGTAGATTCCTACAATTTATATTACCAAACAATATATGTACAGGTAATTAGTACTTATATCAACAATACAAATTATAAAAAGCACAAAATTGGCTTTTGAATAATGGTCAGAACCATGTGTGTAAGCATTTTCTGAATTAAGTAAAATCTCCAGAAAGGGAAAATCAGGGTACCCAAATATCCTAGTCTTCTTTATATGGGATTTTTTTAGGGATCATACAGAGAAGTTGGGTGACAAGCTTTTCACTCAGGTAACAGTAACAGCAGCTTTGAAAAGAACACAAGTAATTTCTAGCTGATTCATATTTCATACTAATATCTTCAGCTAAACAGATATATTAGGTTACATCTTTGAAAAAAAAACTGCTAGAGGTGATTCAGCATGCAGTGGAATACCATCCAATTCTATTCTGATAAGCTCCATTCCTGGCTTACTAAATCCATTATGCCACTACTTAAACTGCTCAGAACTATAAGTATTATTAACACAAGACATTGTCTTACAGAACAATTATGAAACAAACCGCAATCCACTTGTTAATGTTTACAGAATTTTATTCTTCAACTAGAATATTTCAATTGGATTTTCAGAGAAGCTATATTAATTATTTTATTTTCCAATCTTGACTTTCCTTCTTCCCCACTTAATGGTACCTGCACCTTGTCGTGGTGATGGGGCTTCAGTACCTCAGTGACCCCAAGAGCTACTGGTAGGGCCTCCCTAGCCAGATTGGTCGAGGGGGGAGAGGTCAGGCTAAGACAGGTACCCTGGTCCTCCAGGTTGGGGGTTGGTCGCAAGACTAACAACCTTGCACCGTAAAAAGGAAGATGTTTCAAAGCCTCGGGACAGGCAGCGGAGGATAGGACCGAATGGAAGAGGAGAATTGAGGAGGCCATGGACCAAATACGGACCGGAGAGCCATAAAAGAAGAAGAAGAAGAAGAAGAAGAAGAAGAATAATAAGAAGAAGAACTTTCCTTCTTACTCTTTTTTCAGTGCTAGAATTAGCTCAAGGTTCGTATAACCCCTAAACAAAATATTGAAGTTTGAAAATGACAGCTTTAAAAAACATTCAGATCAAAACTAAGATAAAACAGACTTTTGGGAGGATTCTTTTCATGCAAGTATGAATTCCAATTAAAAAATGACATAGTACACAAAAATGTTGCCACTCTATAACAATATCGCACCATTTTTAATCAAGCGATTATGAAATAAAGCCTGATTATTTTATGAACACTTAAAAATCACAACAGATATAAGAAATGACAATGGATCTCAGTTTCCCAATATCGCGAGTACTTGGAAATCAGTAGAATAAGGTGGAAAACTTTAATCAGAATAAATGTTAATGTAGCATTGAATCAAACTGGCTACATCTTGAAAACATTAAACTGCGTATGAATGCCCTCAGGCAGGACAATGGTAGAACTCGCAACTGTATCATTATGCTCGGTATATTTCTTCGCAGCATTTTTGTAAATTATAAAATGTTATATTTTTCCAGATAATCAAAAGATGGTTGTAGTAATTCCTCTTTCTCTGCATGTACATGTGGTGTAAGCTTACCATGGTAAGTAGTCATAAACTTGCTGCGCTCAGTGGATGGAATCCAATGAGCTGAGAGGACATGGGTTGCTGGCCAAGTCACACCCTGTTGTCAAACAGAAAATTTATGTCCAAGGATGCCAACTCTCTCGTAGGGTACTATTAGCATTTAAATATTGATACAGAATACATTAATAAATATGCTATAGCAGTAAAATTTATAAATCAATGTTCATATTTAATAAATATTGTAACTTTTAGTTTCATACCAGAGCAAGTCCTTGGATGGCTCTGAGAACTGCAGCCGCTCCATAATGTACTCTGCAAGCTAATGGGAAAAAAAAACCCCCTGCCAATAAAACACCAAAACCCAATACATGACAGCCACCAAACCTCTGAGCCAGCAAACCACCTGGAAGTTCTGTTATCCAGTAACTCCAGTAGAACGCACTGAGGACCATCGCAGTTTCTTGTTCATCCCAGTTTAACTTCTGAAACAGTTAATAAATTCCATATTGATAATCAAAGATTTGTAATAATTCAGAACAGAGTGCGAAAGTCTCTGACAGAACAGAGGATAAAAAAGAAAATATAACCAACCAACACTTCACTACGAAATATACATTCAGCATAATTTTTTGTTTGCTGATCTGTTTTGTAGTTTTGAATAAACAGAAGGTTTATTGTAAATGTTTACTTCTAAAGAAATTTGAAAGAATTCTTGGGAGTCGTAAAGGCTGTGAGATGGACATGTAACTGCTACTGCAGTTCTTATGTAAATAAACAAGAATCTAGTATCATCATATTATCACCCATCACTGACTGCCATGATATTAAATGAAGTACAAAGTTATTTTTGCTTTTATAAACTTACATTTGAATGAGACTCATTTGTTACATTTCCTAAATCTGTCATGCCAACACGAGCAATATACAGATTAGAGCGAATCATTTGAGTGATGAAAAACATGAAGAAGGCCATTATTCCAAGCTGAACTCGTGCAGGTACTAAGGAAAATACAGAAATGTTAAACTACTGCATGATTAAACATTTATAAAATCATATAAACAAATCCCCTATCCCTCCTCTTCACATATATTTAAAATTCAGTTCGTATTAATAAAATGTTTTAAGATAATTGAAGTGGTGCTTACAAATGTTAGAAAAGACAACCTTCAGTTTGGAGTCATATGCACCTGAAGTTGGAGTACATGATTATGCATAAAATTCTTTTCTGTATTCATTACATTGAGAGACAACAAAGAAGTAACAAAATTAAACTTCAGATGGTTTTGGTTCTGACATAAGGAAAAACACAATTCTAAGGCAGGCTACTTCACTCTATTTCAATTTTCAAGAGCTGTTGTGTCTACAATTAATATAATGCAAAAATAGTTGTACTGTATTCAGGAATGACACAGAAGTCTGAAATCTTATTGGGAATCATAATCTTCCTTCAACTGGACCCACAATATTTGTTTTCTGAGCAAGCAATTCAACAAAATTTAATTCTTATAACATTAGGATACAAAGTATAAGCATTACCCAAGGGTATTTTATTCTTTCCAGTAGTTTTACATGGCACAGTATTGCCTTCCATGAAAGTGTGGCTGCTAGCAACATCTTCCATTATGACATGTGACTTTTCAGTTCTTGTGCACACTGGCTTCTCTAAAACACCTACAAGAAACAAATATATGAAAACATAATATCTATGAAATTGATTTTTAAGAGGTTTTCACTCAGAAGTTGTCTGAGATGAGAAATGTACTGACAAATTGTTATTGTTGTTTCTCGGCACTACAACCCTGTTGTGGGTTTTCGCCGCCTCCTTTTCGGAGGTTTCGTGGTCTTGGTCGTGCATGAAGTAGTGGGTGACCAGCCCACTGACTCTGCTCAATTTCTACTCAATCCTGATTTGACTGCCAGAGCCATCTAGCAGTTAGTCAGGAGACTTTTGGGTGAGAAATGGCCGCTGAATTTTGCTTACGAAACATCTCGTATCATGCTCGTAAGGTTCTTTTACATGCCGTAAATCTACGACATGAGACCGCCGGCTTTACTTCCCCTCCGAAGGAAGTTGTGCTACGGATTTTTATCACACTTAAAAATCCACCGACCTCGGCTGGGATTGAACTCGCGAACCTTGAGGTCCTGTGGAGAGCACGCTAACCAATAGTCCACCGAGGGCGACAATGGCAAATTACATGTTCTTGATACAATGAATTACAGACATCTCATGCTTGTTTAATGTTTCCCATAATACTCATATTTAAATGACACCATATTTACATAAAATTTATAAATTGGATTGTGTAAGTTTTGAATTTCTGTAAAACTACATACAACTTTATGGCGTTCTCCTTTACGAAATGCATATAAATCACCACATTCACAATCGTGCTGGACACTGCCTGTTACACAAGACAGATAATGAATCAATCATTATTGCAAACCTTTAGAGAAGCAGGATATCATTTTTATCGATTTTGTACATATTTTAAAAGTTCGGTTCACGCATGTTTCGGTGCCCCCCACCCCACCCCCGCCAATAAAATAACTTTACGGTAATCCACAGTTCGCAAAGATGTTTCGGGGTAGCTCAGTCAGTATAGCTGGACGACCGGCATTCGATCACCAACAGAAACAAAAGAACTTTGTTCTGGCCATTGCGTCCAGACCAACTTTGGTGCGTCCTCTCCTCCAAGCCCTTCCATTTATTTTACTTTATATTGTTAAATGGTTGGCTTATTTACATAAATTCTTTTGTTCAACTTAATGATTAGTTGCCTGCAAGTCATATACAAGTTCCAAGCAAGAGTTGCCAACGTTATTTCCAAACAGTCAACATCCTGACGATGTCACATTCTTCAGTCAAATAAAGACTAAAAACTCTGACTCCACTTACAAACTTCCTTGCACGAATTTTAACATCTCTAGGAAAACTCTGTTTATAAATTTAATTGTAGATTTTAATAAAAACGTTTATAAAACATGAAAAAACTAAAGGTTACCTTTCTCGAAACAGCCTTCATGAGTCACAAAAGAAGCGGGTTTATGGAAATACTCATATGTAAATCGGAATGAAATAAGAGAACAAAACACGAACATGCTTTCTTAATATAAATGTACCGACGTCTGATAGTAAAAATCTCAGTATAAAATCCGCTCCGTACTCGAGCTTGTTAGGCTGGCGAGCAGACGAACAGACAGGTATGGCGAAGTTAGTAGCCGCATTTTTGTCAACTTTTATTTGCAAATGCGGCTATGAAGATCTGGATTACAGCCATGAATGCTAGAGACGCGAAGTAATGGGATCTGCGGTGCTGAGGATATAAGCACCAATTAACGAAGTCCGTCTAAGTATTCAATAAATCAGTGTTTAAAGGTTGACTGTGATAACAAGTATCCCATTATACTCGTATTTTGCTGTATGCAGCTAGTGGTTGCTGTAATAAATTAATGTCCTGACGTCGGAAATTGTTAATTAAATTATTGAATTACACCAGCACCTTTTGACACTTTCTTTATTGATATTTTACAGAAAAAATTAAAATCGGCTTTAGTCAACTTAAAATCTGTCCAGAAATGAATTTCTTCGGTGATGAGAAACTTCGCAATAAATTCAAAAGTTACAGTAATAGTACAGTTCACTACTTTACCGACACTACAATATAAATGACATACACATACGGGTCTCTGATATTTATCAGACATACAAATTGCAATGAAAAACAGTAGTTAGATTTAAAATTATGTTACTTGTTTATTTTTACAAGACTAAAGTTTCATTATACTCCTTTCTGACCACGGTGGTCTAGCGGTTAGAACGCTGGCCTTGTAATCCTGGGGTCTCGGGTTCGATTCCCGGCGGTGCCCGAATTTATAACTTGTGTTGGGCAAGGCCGTGGTCTAGGCAACACGGAGTTTTCCTCCGTGGCATCCCAACAATTACTCCATTCACACACAGAAGAAGGCAATGGCAAACCACTTCTGGATCATCTGCCAAGAACGTATATGAACAGGTCCCAGTCTGAGAAAAGGATGGAAGGATCCTGTTCATATGGACCTGTCGTCAGACAGAACACTAAATAAAAAATATACTCCTTTCTATGTAGGTAGGGTCACAGTGACCGCGCGGTCTGAGGCGCGGGCCTTGTACCGCTTGGTCACTGGGACCGAGGGTTCGAATCCCACTCACTTTCCCTCGTCCAAGGAGTCCTACCAAATGTCTATAATCAAAACCAACGAAAAAGTTGGGACCCGCAGTGCTCAGGCACTTGAAGAACGGGTCGTCAAAGGAAGTATCATTCTACGTATTCTGACAGCGTAATCACTTCTGATTAGCCTATTTCATATTAATTAAGAATGTATCAAATTAATTGTCAACACAAACCAAAGAGGTTTATACTTGTAATCATGTTCGCTTGCAATTAGTTACGTCTCTTTTCACTCAGAACGATAACTTAAGTGACAAAATAACATGAGATTCACTGGCAGGCTCTCCAACGTACTCTTAAAAAGTAGGATCTGGATCCAGCATGACCCTTTCCTGTTGTCAAATCATGATTTAAGTTCCTGTAATAAATGTTCTGTTACCTTCATTGTCTTCCATCACTCTCTTGGTTGTTGGTATAGAACATAGCTATGATGCTGACAGTAACGATAATACAATGCGTACTGCGCATCGCTCTTCGCACGTGAACCTTCTATAAACTTAAAATAGAACACCAGATGGTGTTGCTTTGTGGGGAGGGGAGGCTTTATGCGGAAAACGTGAGTTCTCTGTCGCGTAGACGGTGGTCAGTCACAAAACATCACTGACGATTTTGTTTTCAATACAGAAACAATCGCTAAGTTGACACTGGACTGTCTGTTTATTTGTGGTTTCTTTTTCCGAACCGTGCAGAATGTGAACGACGTATGTTCCTGGGAATTCGTTTCTTGATACAGACTACGGTAATCACGTTCAAAAAATAACACGACAAATGGAACGCTGTCCATGTGGGGAAAAAAAGTGATGTGAAACGCGCCTGGAGCATGACTTTTGTAGTAAGAATAAATTAGAAATACTCAATTCAGACTCCGATACAAAACTGGGCTTTACCTTTACTCCACCTCAAAGCAAGAATGTTACTGACTATGGTAGATGGCTTTCTTCTGGGTTGTTGCGCCGTGTAGTCTGGTAGACGTTTTTCGACGTTTCATCATCCTGATGATGGAGGCAGCAAGGACCTCTGAAACGTCGCCAAACTTCTACCAGACTACACGGCACAACATCCTAGAATACCGCCATCTTCAGACTCACCGCCGTGAAAACCACACGGGATAAAATACCTTGTCTGTCTCGAGAAGAGAACAGAGATGTTATTGTGTACTGAACATCACATAAGGCACTGCAAAACGTTTCCACAACTCTGTATGCTGTCTTAGACTAATAACGTCACAGTTTCTTGCTTTGCAGAGGTGGCTGAACACGATGGTAGCAGCAGGCTTCTAACTAATCCCTCATTACTTTTGCCTACTTCGAGTGCCTCTGAGATGAGCTGAATCTCCCTCCAAGGACAATTCTATCTTTATAGAAAATTCTTTAACTGAACCTACACCGTAAAAAATCTAAACTTCTCAGTGCTAATTTAATAACAGAAGGTGCACACCAACAGGAAACCTAATTACTGCCTTCCCTTTTATCAACTAGACTAAATTCCAAATATCCAGTTGTCTTCACATCTCAGAAATAAACTTGTCCGAGGCTCGGAACTGGAACTGGCCGGTCATACTAGTGACTTTTCGACTTTCTCATCTCTTCCATGCGTACTACTTGGATCGCCCAACTCACGTTTCTTGTTTGAATCACAGTATTTTATGGAGAACAAAAATCATGAAGCGTCTCATTGTATACATTTCTCCATTGGCCCCTTTTATGCACAAATATTCTCCTCAGCATCGTATCCCAAAAGACCCTTAATTTGTCTACCGTTGTGGTAATCAAGTTTAACACACATATAAAATAACAGATCACATTACATTTTAGCTTCAGGTTGTTAGACAGGGGACAGGAAAATAAAACAATTCTGTACACCAATTATTTTTAAAACAATGTCTCGCGTCATATCCGTTATCTATGTTGTTCTATTGTCCATAGGGCTTATGTTACTTGCGAGGCACAATGCTAAGCTGCGAAGATAACGTACGCCCCCTACGTTATTTTCACAGTGTCACAATTACACTGTAAAATGCGTTGCTTACTTTTAAACCTAAATTCGTCACTTGGTCAAAGTGTAGTACAAAATTGATGGTTTATATTACGTGACGTACTCTTCAGTTAAATGTCGTATTGATACCACAAAACACGAGAACAGAGCTCAGTTACTCGTCCCAACAATCTGCCTTCACTACACAACGCGTATACTGTACACAAGGGCACCAACGTTACCTATCTCCACACATCTACACAGCTTCTGTGGTAAACACGCATCCCAACTTAACGTACGCTCTATATCAAAAGCACAGACGTACAAGGTCTAATGCGGTAATTTTGTAATTGAGCCATTACATCGGATGCAGAGTAGGAGAGGTCTTAAAGGGATTATAACAGCAGATAAACTTCAAAAGCTATGACAGCAAAGAGAATGAATCATGAATGGGAAAATGTGATATAACAAGGAAACGTTTTTGCACGTTGCTCCACATGAAATACCCAGATTGTCTGGGGGCGAGTCGTGTGGGGATCCGTAAAGACGGGAATGGTCAACGAGATAAATTATAAAAGAAATGGTTATATTATTTTAGGAATAAGACAGCCCATAGTGTGCAATGTGCATACTTTTCAAGTTGTCATACAATGTATACAATTATCATTTCCAAATAAATAAACATAAAAACCAGGCTGTTTTCTTTTTGTTGAGGGAGGGGTTTAAATAATTTATGTAATTCGTGTCCTATTTGTTGCTCTTAGGCTGAATCCAATAATATATATTTTTAAAATATTTTTCCTCCCTGGGGACCTGTGAAGTCCTAGGAGTTCTACAGAATAAAATTCGGCAGATACAATAACAATAATGTTCTTAGAAATGTAAAGGACGTCACGGATCACCTACACAGGAAAAAAACAACACAATTCAGGTTACTGCATATAGAAAAGTATGACATTGTCTTCAGGGAACAGCAAATAAATGTCTGTCATGATCTGTTTCAACATTATTGCAACGAGGACGAAGAATACGAGAATTTGGTAAAAAGAATTTTGTAACTGAAGCACTGAATACTTCGCAGTGGATTCTATTTGGGTTGGATGAAAGGTGGGTGGGTGTACCACCACAAATAAAATGACTACTAATTTGTTTTCCCTGTTGTTAGTTTGTGAGAATGTATGCTGAGGGTGGGAACCCAACCTCTTCAGGACACTGGAGAGAAAGTTTCAGACTCAACTGGAATAACAATCAAATCAAATTTTTAAGTGGGGAGCGCAGGCCCAAATACTGTTTCTTAATGAGGAGGTTAGATCAAGTGGTAAAGTACGTGATTTGAGTGTCTACCGACACACGCCAATCTTTATGCAAAATGTAATAGGTTTGCTCTTAGTTATTTCAGTATTCCTTCACTTTTTATTTTTTATTTCTTCATTCTTTCATTTTCTGTCCATCCAGGTAACTTCATTTAGATAACAGAAATTCTGATTTTTGAGGTTTACCTCTGATAACCCTCTATTTTTGGAAAGTGAAACAATATATGGAAATTTTAATGTAGCTATAAATAAGATAAAATGAAATTCTTCTTCTTTTTCCAGTTTAACAATGTTTATACATTTTCCAGTACCCTTTACGGGTCCCCAACTTCTTAGTTGGCTTGATCTATAGAAATTCAGTAGGACTCCTTGGACGAGGGATCGGCCCGTCGCAAGGCCTCTTACCTGTACAAAGGACAGCACATCACAGAAAAACATCCATGGCTTGAGTGGGATTCAAACCCACGGTCCCTGCGACCAAGCAGCACAAGACCCACGCCTCAGACCGCGCGGCCACTGCGGACCTCATGAAATTAAAATAAGATGTAAAATTACTTACAACAGTAATCAACCATTGAAACACAAATGACACAATGCTAACTCATATGAAACTGTTTCTAATGACAATTAACAATAATTCAATTAATTAAATAAACATAAATGACACAGCACCAACTCATGTTTATTACAATAAATAAATAATTAGTATAATTTTGATTTACAACCATATGAATTTTGTACATCAGCTGCAGCAAAAACATTCATATTAAGCAACATGAATAACAATACAAATGCTTCTTCCATAATGGAAATGCGTTTCCAAGACCTTTCCACTTTCTCCACAGAAAAAATGAACATTTCAACCCTCGGTCATGAAATTTTAAAATACACTGTAAAACTGAAAATTATGGTAAAATAATGTAAATGTGCCTCTGTTCCATAAATACAGTTCTTAGAAAATGTATTTTCATCTAATTAAAACCGATGACACAATATTAATAAAACAACTGAAGGCGAGGGAGTACATAGTTCTGGTGAGAACAAAGTGCGTAACTAATTTTTAAATTTCTCTGTGAATTATTCAACTTAGCCACCATTCATTCAAATATTCTTTACGACAAAATAATAGTCTGCACAAAAAATTATAGATTCATATTATAAGTTTAATGCAATACCATCATCATCATCATCATCTTAAAAAATTGTGTACTGTCATAAAAATTATAACATCAAATTTACTACTAATTATGTCAACTCAGAATTGTCAAAAGAACCATGTAGATACAAAAAATTACAGATTTGAAACTATCCTCTCACTTCCAACTCTGGTCTGAAAATGTCTATTTCCTCATGTATGTAAGATTTGTCCAGCCATCTAGACAGAGCAGCTTTCTTGTAAAGAAAATTAAATAACGTACGTGCTCCTGTTAACACTGGTCTCGAGCGAGACCACTGATATTTGTATCATATCAGGATGAACATTTTGGAACATTGGAGTATTCTTTTTACAGAATATTATTGTTTTTAATAAGATATAAATTAGAAGAGTAGACATTCTAAGTAACATCATCATTAATGCTACTTAGCGTTTCACACGGAGTGAATGTTCAGCGCCTTTGAATCTTTTATGTTATTCAGTTGTGCAAAATCTATTAAAATTTCCCGTGTGAGTCTTCTTCCAACTGCTTAGTATTTAAATATGACACTACTTTAATATTATATGCACTAAGAGCCAGTTGGTTGTTCTATTGTACACAGCCTCTGCAAGAAAGGGTAAATTCAGGTGCTGAATACGGTATAAGATGGAGGAAAACAGAAGAGGAAAGAAAGTATGAAATTAAGACTGACATGAACTTGCACATAAATGAATCTTCCTTGTCAAACAATTAAAAAACTCTCCCAACACGTGTTAACAAAATTCAAAGGTGAAAATATTAAGAGTATACAACCTTAATGCACTGAAAAACACGAGAAAGTGGACATGAGTGAAGTGTGATGCGGAGAAAAAGAGGTTCAGGGAGGAATAAGGGACAGTCCCTTGCTGCCAATGACAGAACAGTTCTGAATGTCTTACTGGGATACTTTGAAGACCCATTCCTCAAGTGCCTGAGCACTGCGGGTCCCAACTTTTCGTTGGCTTGATCTATAGACATTCGGTAGGACTCCTTGGACGAGGGATCGGCCCGTCGCAAGGCCTCTACCTGTACACAGGACAGCACAACACAGAAAAACTCGGACAAACATCCATGGCTTGAGTGGGATTCAAACCCACGGTCCCAGCGACCAAGCGGCACAAGGCCCACGCGGCCACTGCGGACCCCTCTGAATGTCTTAGTAATCAGATATAAACCAAAATATGGAAGGTAATCTTGGAATATATATTTCGCAGAATGACCTCTTTAGATGTGTAATTTTACTGACTAAAAATGCGTCAGCCAAGTTGCACGGTAAACCCAGTACCTTCATTCCTTTTCTATATTACCCATACAGCTTGATGGTTAGAACATACACTCAGCCAGGATGAGGTACCTGGTTCCATTAATAACTTGGATCACAATTTCTCATCTAACTACGCATCACTAAAACTGTTTGTCACAAGCAGACATAAACATACATTTATGAGCAATGTATTTATGGTAGCTAGGCTTGTCAGCGGAGAAAGATATGTATGAGAAATTTACATGATTCGTGGCAAGACTTTGTTTAACCAGTGACACTTGAAATACACAGAGTAATTTAAAATGTCTTTCAGATGCCAGGCACAAATTACTCTTAAAATATGTTCTTATAATCAGCACACAATTATTTTGATGAAGAAGGTTACCTTGCGTATTAATTGAAAACATTTTGTGTTCAGAAAGCAATTGCCATTACAACATAACCTAAACATGAATAAAATTTAAATTGTTACATGATTTAACAACAAGAAATAAAAATCATACTTACTGATCATAAGATTTTGAAGTTTACAGGGACAAGACAAGCAGGCTAAATGTATTTCTTTACATTTCTATCAGTAATCATTTATAGACATGGCAGATCAGTTCTATTCATTGTGAGGACATTGTTACTCAATCTTTTTGTTTCCGTCATAAATAAAAGAAATTCTATTAAATCACATCACATACAATGCTGATAAATATAAGAGACTGGGGCTAAATCAAATTACAGTAAACCCTTGATTTAATTGACTAATGGATAGCTGATTTTACAATGCCAGTAATGCATCCTTATATCATAATTTCCATAAGAAAAACCATTAAACAGATTAGTAATATGAACTAGACACCTACAATGACACAAAATTAATTAAAATACTACAGTGTAATGAGGCAATTAACCATTAATAGATATTTTTGGTTTTAATGGACTGTTAAAACTAAAAATGTTCACTAATAACCACTGGATTTCTTCTGTGTTAAATTAGCTCTATACACAGATATTTTTGGTTTTAACAGACTTTGTAAAAAATTGAAAATGTCTGCTAATGCTTAGTATCATGAAAAAAATTTGGGAATACCAGATAGTGTCTGTTAAATTGAGGGTTTACTTTTACACAATACATAAAAGGAAAATACTGGTGCATATTTGAGGGCAGCAATAATTTTTTATTTCTGAAACCAATATTTTTACTTTGTAGGGTGTATAAAGGCAGAATTTTTTTTTAGAAATATTTGCTATCAAAAACTACCGAATTACTATGTGAGAATCATTTAAGAAAAGGTGACAAAGTAGCACAAAGGTCTCTCCTCATATTGGAGGCAGTATAAGTTGGTTCCCCCACTTAATTGTACCTGCACCTTGTCGTGGTGGTGGGGCTTGAGTACCTCAGTGACCCCAAGAGCTACTGGTAGGGCCTCCCTAGCCAGATTGGTCGAGGAGGAGAGGTCAGACTAAGACAGGTACCCTGGTCCTCCAGGTTGGGTGTTGGTCGCAAGGCAAACAACCTTGCGCCGTAAAAAGGAAGATGTTTCGAAACCTCGATCAAAGCCTCGGACAGACGGACCTAATAGAGGACCAAATTGAAGAGAATAATTGAGGAGGCCGTGGACCGAATACGGACCGGAGAGCCATAGAAGAAGAAGAAGAAGAAGATAAGTTGGTTCTGAATATCAGTATCTTATGTATCTCATGGCAACCCTACATTTGGAACAGCTAATATTTCATGGGAAGTAGTCAAAATATTACCTTTCTTTTAAGCAGATCATAGCTTTATTCTTTCCACCAGTACTTTTAAAGTAACATTTATTGCACTTAACATTACAAAACATTTCAGAAATGGTAAAACAGTTTTTATATGAATGTGTGTGACAGTTTCTAAATATAGCAGTACTTCGAGTTGGGGAACTATTCTGCAGATATCTGCCAATTTAAAATACTGACTTAAGCGGCTCTTACATAAATGTATTCCTGATGATGCATACTGAAACAATCTAAAAAGATTAGAATTAAAATAGTCCATGACTAGCATCATTTTCAGCATGCAGTACCACATTTCATTCATATTTTTGACCATAACTCAGTACAATGTAACTTATTAAATAAAGCTTGGTTTAAGCCAATACTATTGTTCAATGAACTGACAAAGCACATGGCAAACCAGATTTCTGTGGCTGTGTTCAAGGAAAGGCAAAGCAAGCAGCATTTATGCTATTTACAGAAAAACAAAACAAACATATTTGCCTGTACAAGACTAGGTCACAATGGATAATTAAAAAAAAAAAGGATTTGTGCACAAACATTTGATAAAGTTTTCTTTTTACAACAAATCTTACACAATCTGTTACGAGTAACTGCAATTACTGATATTTCAGATTACTGATACTATAGATGTAATCCATATCTATTATCATTCCACTTTATCATAACATCAGCATGCGAGGAACAAAGGTTATGAATGCCAATGTTTGCGAAACACTATTTGGAAAACATTTATTAATAGGCGCTAACAATGAAAACTTTGTTACTTGTATCACTACACCAAAACACATTTATTTACTGCAGTTTACGTGAGTTAGCGAAATGTTACAAACATACGAATATTTATGTTTGATTTCTTATAACCTTTAAAAATATAGTATTTTGTAACACTATTTGGTTGTCACATCATTAAACTACTAATGAAGTTGCATGTGGAATCTCAGACATAAGGTCGGCACTTGATATAAAGATGACCTATCTGCTCCATTAGTTCACCTTTACTGAGCATTAAAAACTTCAACAAATGCTACAAATTCAGTTGTTAAATATTAATCCTGTTTACTTTTAAAGTGTCACTGTGCTTTCACTGTATTTTTTTACAGAAATGAAAAGCATATCACAACTTACACATTAATGACTCAAATGTCACACATGTTGCTTCCAGAAGCTCTATACCAGCGGTCCCCAACCTTTTTGTGCCTACGGGCACATTTGAGAGTTTATGAGATCGTGGCGGGCACCAACCAATTAACAAAGCCAAATTTTCTTTTCTCCGGACAAATAAGATATGGACACCAAATAATACACAACACAAGACGGCGTTTAATGATGCAATCAAAAATAGTAGTTTTATAAGAACAATTATTACTACTCAAGTGGGAAGTTAGTGTGATGTTTGGCACTGCATTTCATCGGCCAGTTTTTCAAATTTGGGAGTGTACGATGATGTTGCTGCTCGCAAACAATCGTCAAGATGGGCGTCCGTAAGGCAAGATCTGCGCTTTGATTTTATAATGTTCGTGGTTGAATGGCCTTCATTATTCAGTATAACCTCTTTCCGTAACAACGCGGGCACCCAAAAAAAGCCATGGCGCCCGCGGGCACCGCGTTGGGGACCACTGTTCTATACCTTTGTTATAAGCTTATTATTACTACATGACACAAAAATCTAAAATCTTTATGTCATCATTGAAATATGTATGTTCTGACCTTCTTGCTTTATCTTTAATTAATACTATGGGAAATCACCTCCAACTAACACTTTCTAGTAAATACACAAAGAAGGCTACATGGAAAAATTTATGGTCATTGCATATATCTTCCTTCATCATTTGCTTAAGGAGTGTTTATAATGATTGTATTTTCTCAAGTGTTTATCTGAGATGAACTGATTTGTCTGAAAGAAGAATTTAACATGTCGGGCTAACATACTAAAGTTTAATGTATCCATGTAAGTTAGACCTTTAGCTTCTATATTCATTTGTAGCATTCTGAACTATATATTATGTGTCTGTCTGTATAACTAGGCAATAAAAACACTTTAATTCGTTCGTTCGTTAATAAAAACATACATACACACATATAAAACAAGCAGAACTATGTTAAAACTGAAGCAACCTCTCGCCCACTGTTCTGGAGTTCACAGGTACGGACGACGAAACTACAGCTTGCCGCAGACCAGCTACGGCCACCAGACCTCCGGATAAATAGCTAAGTGTAGAGTCTATTCCTATGAACAACAACATTCGGTGCAGTGTCGCTTATAGTACTTTTCGTCAAATATCCTATCCATTATTTATTTTCTAAATCAAGTTTTGAGCCATTTAATTAAATGCATTGATTTCCCTGATGCCACTGATGATAACCTTTTAAGGTTGAAACGCGTATGGCAATAGTGTCTCCTTTACAGTGTTAAAGTTGTTTGTGTGCTTATTTATAGGAAGATTTATGTAAATGAACTGGAAAAGATATGAAAGTAAGAAGTCATGGCACAATTCTGGAATTTGCCTAGAGGGTCTAAGGGGGTTGGGGGGCTCAGCCATATTTTTTAATACTTGATTTTGTTTTTAAGTGAATGAAATATTGTAACACCTGCATTAAGATTATTACTTAATTTCTGCCTATGAAAGTGTTCTGATTTGTACAGAAACAGAAAATAGGTGGAAATATTTTTGTTTTTGGAACATCCCCCAAAATGGGAAATTCATAATGACAGCATTCATGTTTTGTTTTTGGCCATCAAAAACTGAGGCCTTGTGCTAAGAAAAAAGTACATACATCTCCAAAAAAGGTTACTAGCAGATGCCAATACTAGCAAGACCATAAAGTTATGAACATAAGAGTATTAGTCAGTGGACAATCGTATACTTTTGACAATCTGGCAAAGTAAGGTGATGTAATTATTGGCAAATCAGTAAAAATATACCATAACATGTGGCTAAATTATTATTTTTGGTATGCTTAATATATTGCCTCTTTTCGAGATAACTATAAAAATGTTAGCTGTCATGAGTTATGTATTGGTCCCATGTAATTCGTAGCAAATAATCCTGCAGCAATTCTAAAACACCACGGACATTTTTTTATGCACACATGAACAACATTATTCATGGTACTTAATACCATTTCTACACATTTAATCTGGATGCCATCTTCCTTTCAATATCTGTCTACAGTGTCGTTAATACTTAGAGCATTTCAGACATAACACAGAACCTGACAACACAACATTTGAGAAAATATTAATCATAGAACTTATACTCACCGACTAGTCAGCTTGGTTACAATTCTAAAGCAAATGACGACTGATGACAAATTTATTCATATATTATACAATTAACATACAAAAGTGAAAAATGAAAAGGAATCTGTTAGAAGAAAACCTTATAACGTTATCGATGAAACTCTTGTCAGTTATATGCAAGACAGTAAGAAGAGCTTTAATTTCAAAATTATTATGCTGACCAGTTTTAATGTTCATGTAATTAGTGATAAATTATTTGGAGCATTTTACAGGCTAGTAGTCACGTTCAATATGTTGCAGACTTATAAGACACGGTGTCTGTCTATCGTCTGTACACTTGCCCAGCACAAACAGTAATGATAATTAAACACTGAGGTTTGTAATTACTTTCGAGTTCATTTTTTGAATAGCATGTTAGTTACAGCACAAAAAAAGACAAACAGCATAGAGCACAAGCTATTGAGTCATCTTGGATAATTTCATTTGCATATATGGTGCCTCAGCATGTAATTGTTATATACAAAGTGATTCTCTTGTTAGGTTAGGTTAGGTTTGCACGTATCAACACTGTTTAGTTTATGGCACAAGGATCATTAGAAGTTGAAAATTGATCAATGTAAACTTTTTGAAATTCTGCAAGCACACTGCATTCTACAGTCTCAGAAGTTGAGCTATATATGAGATCATCCACTATGCTGCAATATCTTGCTGTATCCAGCTCGTCATCTACAAGATATTTTCACAGAAGATTAAAGAATGTGGTTGTAGTTCATGTATAGCTACTACACGTTGAGGTCGGCCATCATTTTTCGGAAGTCTGCTAACGTGTTGTAATCGGGATCAGAGTCGATGTCGGCGAAATCTCGACTGGAGTCCGATTTGGCAAAACTAGGATTATAGCGACTTAAGGAGAGAGGGCAAGGCAGCAATTCTGGCATCACTGAGTGGTGTGTGATCAGTGCTGTGAGTGTTGAAAACTCCTTTGTAAATCCCTGAAACCAACAAATTTCTGCTCTCACACATAAAATTATGCGCTATTGTAAGCTAATACACAACAAAAATAAGTCATCATTGTATCTGAGAGTGTTTAGTATAAACTATCGGTAATGACATAACACAAGTCTCAGTGAACTATGAAAGTTTCTGTTGATGGTGTGGGATAAAATATATGATAATTTTTCTTTTGGATTTTGACCATCATATTTTATGTACACAAGCCACAATACCTCAGAAAATGTGCATTGGTGGTAAGCAGGATTCACGACCCATCAGTACATGGGTTCTATCGGGACCGCAACATTTAACGCTCCTGCTGTGACCCCCTTATATCATGTAATAAACATTGCCTTTTGACAGAAACTTCTTAAAATGTTTCGTTTCTTATTCATATGTTATTTGTATGTTGTAGCACTTCATAACCTACTTTCTTTGAAATTCTATTTTAAGATGTATCTTCAATTACAAAACACAGCCAGTAAGTAACTAATTCACTAGAACCGGGCATGAAGTATTGTGAATAATCAGCTGTCTGACATGATTTGGACACTGCCTCTGCCTGCTACATACACAATATGAAGAGCCCCACAGACATCAACACCCTGTGAAGTTCTATACAGAAAAGGAAATATGTTGGTGTTCTGTTGCCTATGAGAATGATCAAAGACTGAGAAACAATTAGATTACAGTACATCAATCCTAATTATAGACACTGGATGTTAAATCCTTCTGATCAAATGAGGACTTCATTGAATTCAATCACCACAAAGGCCTCTAATTTTCTATAGTACAGGGCCTTCAATAAGTAGTTGATAGTTGATCATGTGGTCAAGAAATTCTTTAATTTTACAGAACACGTCAGTTCATTACTGTGTTCATAAAGCCATCACTGGGCTGTATTTTGGGCTAGTTCAATATCATTCACATCTTTAAAAATCTTTGTGTAAAATCCATTCCAATATATCCTCTCATTCACACTTAGTTTTAACAAGTAGTCCCTTCTATTTAGATTATGAGCAAAAGTCTTTACAATATGCTTTCCTCCTAAATTAAAATGTGCTCACACTCTACAAAGAGACATACAATTTATCACTAAAGATAATGAATAAATAGTAAACTGTTATAGATTTAAAACACTGATAACAAATTAATCTTTTATAATTTGAATTCTGAAAGATTTTAAGAGCATTATTTATACCTCATCCACCCTCAAAGAAGAAACTGCAAATACTTAGTATGATCAATCAAGCTTTTAAAGACGACTCTCTTCTGTATGCTGTGAACTACACAGAAAATTATTTACAAATACTGCAAATAGAAGTATATTCACTTTAGTAATTGAAATTTTAAGCATTGCTGCACTGCAAATTTCAATTGTTTCTCCAGCAGACAATTTCTAATCCATAATATTCCCGCATCAAACGAAACATTTCCAAGTACAATGGTGTGTGATAAGACTATGCTCTCATTTTATTCCTTTTGCTTTCAGACTGTTTATCCCAAGCTTTTGTATTTCATAACCTAATGAAATTTAAATGCTTCATTTTATAAAGCACCTCCTTTGTCATAAGACTATAATGTCAATTCAAATTAAATCCATGTTGATAAAAGGCTGCTCATCAAGCAAAGTCTGTCTCTAATCATAAAACAGAAAATATTTGTTAATGTGATAAAAATGGAATTTGTGGTAGTTGGCTCAGACAGTGATTCAGATAAAAAAGCTATCTTTATTGATGGCTTTGTAGTTTGGTCAAGGTGATCGAAGAGACAATTTTCTTCTCACGGGTTGTGAGGCTCATAGACTTGTAGGTAGACACCAACATGATAGAGAAAATAAAATAAGCAAACAAACAACTATTAACACGCAGGCCAGCTACGGCCACCGGACCATCCTATCAATAGCTAAGTGCAGAGTTCCACTTCTGTGAATAACAACATCTGGTGCAGTATCGTTTGAAATATTTTTGTGAAACACCCTATTCATTATTTATTTCTAAATCCAGTTTAAACCATTTGATTAAGAGAATTAATTTCCTTGATGCCACTGATGATGACCTCTTGAGGTTGAAACGCGTATGGCAATAGTGTCTTTTTTTATAGTGTTAATAGTTGTTTGTTTGCTTATTTTGTATTCTAATACACTACACGATATGCAAAGTTTTAAGATGATAGAGAAACATTGGTCTCTACCCATGAGTCTACACAGTGTCACAACCCATGAAAATAATACCGTCATCCTCACACAATAGAGTAAGGATGAAGAAGCAACGAAATTATGCAAGGAGAATAAGAAAAAACCTGTAAACTTCAGAAGGCTGGGGAGAATTTTTAATGCAGAAAATCATATAAATTGATAAACACATACTAAAAACCATTCTTTTGCTCATTTGATTCTCTCCACTTATTCATACATTTTATTCTGGTTCATACACTAGTGAGAAATTTCACTAGTTACCTCACTTTTGGCAACAAAAATCTGATAACAGACCATTACTTTTCTTTGGTGCATTGTATCAGTACAGCATCCACGTCAAAATCATCATAACCTACCGAAACAACAATGAAAGCCAACTAGGTACAAATAAGGGAAGTTTCATATTGTTATCTATCGTTTATCAGTATGGCAAACAACACCATTAAGTAAACTGAATGGCCTTAATTTTTACTTTCTTTTACATATCTGATGAAGGAAAAGGGAGACATTTCAGATATATTACAGAATACGTACCTTGATCTTGTAGCCTTTGTTTGTCCTCATGATGAGGTAGTGTGCTATTCCTGAAGGTTGGAAGTCTCGAGGAACCCTTAGCGATAATGCGTAACACCCAGGTTTACTTGTGGACTCACGAACCATGAAGGCTCCAACTGGTTCCTGGCCAAGAACCTCCAAGGTGATTTCACTAAAACATATGGCAGAGTATCATAAGACTATAATAGGAAATTAATAAGGAATTATATGTTCTTAGTTGGTTATTTTACAGTGCTATATTAACTAATGAGGATATTCAGTGTTGAATGAGATAGTGTAAAATGACCATCAAAGAAGATTCATTGCCCTGATGACGGAGGCAGTATGACCTCTGAAACGTTGGTTAACATCGACCAGACTACACAGCGCAACAAACCAGAAGACAGAAATCTTCATACTCATCGCCCTGATGACGGAGGCAGTATGACCTCTAAAACGTTGGTTAACATCGACCAGACTACACAGCGCAACAACCCAGAAGACAGAAATCTTCATACTCACCACTGTGAAAACCTCAAATCTTAAATAGTTAGTTACTTTACAATATTTCCTCTAATAAATAATCAGAGCCTCATTCAGTACATAGAAATCTATTAGCACATGGTTTACAATTTAAGGTAAGCTTCCTTACCGTGGTATTCCTGCCTGGAACCAGGGTGCTGCCCGAAGTTCACCTTCTTCGGTCCGGTTATTAAGGCTATCGGTGCGCTCTGGTAGAGGGGGAGGTGTGGGAGTGGAACCATGAGTACTGCCATCTGCTGGTGGCTGCAGTGGACAGGACCCTGAACTGCAGGAACTGATCTGTGAGATTCTCTTTGATTTGAAGTCCTGGTCAGTGGAAGCAGGAGAACTTTGAGACAACCTAATATGCGGAAAAGTGCAAAGCTCATTATTAAAAGTGCAAGACTTCTAGAGCAGTGTTCTGCTACCAGTTTACAATGGCACACCGGTATACCACCACAAGGTTTTAGGTGTGTTCTGCAAATTTGATCACAAATCTTATATTCACATTTTATAGGTAGAAAAAGGCAATATCTTATCTTTCATAATTAGAATTCATAATACATGTGTGCGTGTGCACATACTGATTCAACATGAACAGTTTTGAAGTAAAGAGTTTTCTGGATATTTTCCATCGTCTAATAAATAAAATCATAAAATCCATGACGTTTCAGAGATGGAACTCTATCTCTGTCTACAGGTAGACCTACTCTTATTTATTAGACCAGTAGTATTCAACCTGGGGTACGCGAAGCCATCTTAGGGAGCACGTGAAATTTAAAAAAAATATTATTTTATGATAAACACTGAATAATAAGTAATGTAATTTATTTTAGATGTAGATTATATACTACGTATAACTTGAATTATACACCAACAACTTTGGGGGTATAGAGTTGAAGAGAAATTATATCTGAGGGTACGTGAACAAAAAAGGTCGAATACGACGACGGAAAATATCCAGAAGACTCTTTACTTCAACATCACACCATCATCACAAACTTTTAGAAATGAGCTACAGTTTTATTCAAATGTGTTACCCCCCCCCCAAGTGATTGATTCTTATAGGACATGGATTTATATATTCATATTTATGGTTATACAACATTTAGTTTCCGCAAGGCAAAATTTTAGTTACCATCGTAAGTCTCTGTCAAAACAGGACGTGCCATGGGTGAAAAAAGTTCGCGGAACACTGTACAACGCCCATAAATCTTAATCTAAAGTAAGAACAGAAACAAATAATTTAAAAATTAATAATTATTGCATCAAATTATATAAAAAATACTTGTGGTATCACTTGTACTTCTATTAAAATATAACAAAATAAGTATCCTGTTACTTAATATAATCTTTTGTTTATTCCACGGGAATATGATAGTAACAGTCACGTATTCAATTCAGTGATGCGATGACAACAAAAAATGGATATTTCTGCTATTCCTTTTAAGGTCTTCGGGTCTAAAGTCAGTTAGAAACTGTTTATTCAGTAGCTGAATTTAATAAAACTCGGACACAAGATAAAGAGTTATTAAGGAGAAAAAATGGTATCACAGACATGACGATATACGTCCGCATATTTTTGAAGATGAGGTTCAAATTTCAATGTGTTATGTAGAATAATTATAGTACTATTAATCTGACCACTAAGTTATGTACGCATGTGTGTTTGTTTGTTTACAAATGTGTGTGAATACATTGTGCAGACATGTATATAGTGTGTATGCCTGCATCCGGTTGGGAGGATAAATATAAAAAAGAATATAATACTTTAGATACCTATATTTGGAAACTGAACTGAACTGAACTGAACTGAACATTACCGGAAAATGTGATAATTACGAATTATGGGGAGGGGTGAGACAGTGAAAGACGGTACAGTGTTGATTTTTGCCTCACCTATCTGCGAAACACGTTCAGAGAAATCAAAATTATGCAGACATCTGACTATATATTTATTTTTACCTGTTATTGTCTATTTCTATGTGTTTGGTCTGGATTTCACGGTTGTTGTCCACTAGATCACCTCCACTCGATGGTTTTGCCGAGTTTCTCGAAGAGTCAGACTCCGTAATGGCTTCATTCACATATCCACCAGACAGGGGACGGTTACTGGGACTTGTGGGGCTACCGCCGCTCACCACAAGAGGGCAACTATCGTCTCCACCCCCTCCTAACACGACCCCGTTACCCCCTGACAAACCCATAGCCAATCGCTTGATTAGCGGCGGCTTGTCGGTGAGACGTTTGTACGAATTCAGATCTGTAGGGGAGTTACTTTCATCACTGCTGGGTGTGCTCTGCTGTGACTGATTCAGAAGAACATTCTTCTGGTCATCTTCGGACGGTGCCACAGACGTTCCCGTCGCCGTGGTCACATTGTTGAAGTTGTGCAGGGAACGCAGCCCTGGGATGGAAGTTGGAGGAGCGGCGACTGGTGCCTTAACGCCAGCTAGCCGCAACGTCGGTGACCCCGGATGTCGAGGTGCAGTACTCAGTTGCACGTTCATGGCCGCCGTTGTGTTGTCGCCACTGTCTGTAGCTCGAGGGGATGATCGTCCACCTCCTGTTACCTGCTTCGTCTGGAATCACCGACATATTGCTACTTCTCAATGCACTTCTCATCTCGACAAATGTGAATGATTTGATAGGATTGAGGTTATCACGGTGCCGAGTATGAAGGTGGGTGACTTTTGGGTTGTAGCGCCGTGAAGTACGGTAGAAATTTACCGACTCATCTTTTTTGCCAGGATAATGGAGGCAGTAAGTATTAATACCTCTGAAACGTCGGCAAACTTCTACCGGATGTTACGTTCGCATGCTTTTAGCGTTTTTAGATTCTGCAGAAGAAAAATCTTTCCCTTCTACACTAATAAATAATGATAAACCTGTAGTGTGTGGCTTTGACATAATTTAACTTGCAAATTTAGAGTCTGGGGAGGGGGAGGGGATTTAAGAACCTGTTAACTCAGTTATGCAGAGAGCACAAAGGTTAATTACTGCAATAGCAATGTCGGCCCACTGGACAGTATTCTGCGTCAGACGAATTCAATCAATTTTATAACTGATGTTCTTAACATAACGGTTCCATTTCTGTTCTACTCAGTTCTATTGTCCTTTCTCTCCGAGGTTCACTACGAGTAATATGTAAGAATGTGTTTCACTTTGTTTATTGTAATCCCACAGAATAATAATCTTTCTGATTTACTAACTACGTGCAGCAAAGTCCTTCTAGAGAAATTGAAATTCGCCGAAGGAATTCCTCCGCTGATCGAACCCGAGAATTTTCCAGTAGGTCCAATCCTAAGCCGTTTGAATTTAGTTCATATTCTGGCACTCTATAAAGCAACATTTCGGAAAGGGGGTTGTTATTTCCAATAAGCGCAATGTAATAATGGGGGTTACGTTCCTGAGCGTCCGAAAATGACCAAAAAATTAGGAAACAATTTTATTGCCTGGAACGAAACATACAAGAAACGGAACCATATTAGATTTGTATATATTCTATAAAAATAGCAATACGAAACATAACCTAGCTACTCTTCAACATCAGAATACAGCATTACAATGCAACATGGACCACATGAAGTCGTATGCTACAACGTACTGTTTTCGATTGGGAGCTAAGAGCGTATTAATGACAGAAAATCACTAACCCACAGTTTAATGAAGAGGACGATTATGGTACATTTTCAAATTACGTAACATGAATAAATACATAAATATCCGTAACTCAAGTATGTATTGTGCATTATACCGAACCGCGTTTCGAGGTGTTAAAGTTTTACTCAACAGACACTACAGTTTGTAGCCCGTGTTCAAATGCACGGAATTATGTTAGGTTAAACACGAGATTCTAGACAGAAAAATATATGCTTATTTGCCCCTATTTAATTGCAAAGTTCAGACTGGAAGCTGACCAGGTTCATAATACGTTACGCCACTGAGTGTATATATATATATATATATATAAAACTAATTTGTGTGTTCACTGTTTCGTTTTAGAAAGAATCCAATCTTCTCATTCTTCAATTTTGATTATGAACATACTTGATAATGTTCTTCTGGGTTATGGCGCCGTCTGGACTGGTCGGTATATGCCGACGTTTCGGAGAAGCGTACTGTCTCCATGTTCAGGTCTGAAGTGCGTCACTTAATGAAGTAGTGCCAACTGCCTACGTGGTTTACATAGATTTTGTGAAGCATCACAATATTTGGCTGATAATGTAACCTGTATTTAAAAAGCATAAGTACGCTCCCGCTAACCACTGCAACGAAGTACCAGTTTGTATATTTGAACAACATTAAACAATTCTAAATTCACAGCCACTCATTACTGTTATATCAAAATGTTCATACTGCAAGTCCTTAATGGTCAACTTGAGTAGACCAACATACGCAAGCAACAATTCCGTACATTTTATGAATATCGTACTGCAGGGGCGGAATCCAACAGGTAAAATGCATATTTAGCCAGATTCAGATTCAGTCTGCCAGGCGGTTAGCCAGCTAGTCGAGGCTTACGACTGTAAAGTCCAAAAGAGGTCTGTTTATGTACGGCAACTGTAAAAGGCTGCAGAACCAGTGTCTCCAATATTAGGAGCTCAGTACCTTTAAACCGCCCAGTCAGTACTTTGCAGCGGCTCCATTAAGCTAATTACACCGTCCGCCCACTTTGACAAAAACAAAGTCCGAAGCAGATTTCCTGCTTCTGCACTTTATATTCTCATAATACCTCGGTATTATTTGGCTGATGAATCGTTTGAAATTGCGAGTACAAAGCTTTATGAACAATATCCAACTCACAAAACTTTCAGAAAACAGCTAATCTACTCTTGGTTATAAGACTCCATTTGTTAACATATACTGAATAGTTTTCATAACAGTAATGCTTGGTTAATAATTACATTTTAGATAATCCTTCATACACCAGCTATCTTCTAAATGAGACAATACCAAAATATAAATTGTGCTGTTTTCACTAGTGTGAAAATGGCTTGTAAAAACACGCTTTTATTTTGCAAACAAAAAGTATAATAAACTAGGGCTTCAATGCGCACTTAGTTAACAAAAAACAATAAATATGTCTGCCAGAGAATATCAAATTTCAGCTAGGATGTAGGACCCATTCTGTATGAAAATCGTCTAACAATTATTATTTTACATACAAACCTCGATAAATATATTCCAGAGCCACAAGCCACATATAAGTGTTTAGACTTTAGACTTGATTGAGTGAGATTTCAGGTTCTCACGGCGGCAAGTAAGAAGATGGCTGTCTTGTTGCACCGTGTACTCTGGTAGAAGTTTACCGAAATTTCAGAGGTACTTACTCCCTACATCATCGGCGCAATAAGACCTGATAAATGAGGCAGCAAACACCCCCGGAACTTTGGCAGACTTCTACCAGACTACGGCGTAAGAACCCAGGAGACAGCTATCTTAAATGGTGAGGTGGATATTACTCAGGTCCATTCTAGAATCTAATTTACTAAGTTACTGTTAAGACAATTTCTCAGCGAAACAAGATAACATGAATGATCAGTGTAGTCGATTTTATCGTCCAATGAAATTAGCCGAGAATATCGACTCTCGGAGCAGAAGACGCATTACTGATATCTGACCCAAGATCAGAGTCATAAACTATATGATAGAATGTCTGCATGGCAGCAAGTTACACTACCCCTGCCACGTGGCAAGAAAATTGCCAACACAGCGGTCCCTTCTACGCCTTGGTTATGTCTCTCCGTCCATTACGTGAGGTTGAGTTGTAAGATAACGCCCGAAACAAGCAGCTCTTTCTAAAGAAGTGATATTTCCAAAATTCTAGTGTGAATGAGATAAAACACAGACGTCATCATACATGTCGCGATCATCATGTTTGTATTATTCAATAAACGCGAAAAGTCCTCCGCCAAAAATGTGTAGATAAATTTAAAATATTACGCAGTGTTGGGCCTCCCACAGGCTTTTACAATTTCGACACAACAACTATTGACTATCATAATAATAAAAAAAACATGTTATTTCAGCTGCGATATTGCCTATCTTTCCGGGGTTTCTTTCCGACTAACCGCACAATAAGGGGAGTTAGCTACGGCACTTAATATTCAAGGGCAATATTAAATGACAATAATTTCCAACACTTTAATATTGTAGGCTATCATTAAATCGTATTTTGAAAATCGTGCTATTTTTTTTTTTGCAAAATTATTTTAACGCTTTAAAACCAGAAACTTATATATGCAGTACTTAAAAATTAAATTCCTACCTCGAATAAAATACACAGCGTCTCAATTACAAAGAATAACTGGGTAATGAAGTTTAGGGACACAATCTCTGCTAATTCTGAAAATCGTATGAAATTCATAAACACACCCTACGAGAAAAGTACAAATATAGAATATTAAAGTCGATGGTACATACAGTAACCACTGGACTATATAAATGGTTAACATAATGTACTAGTATCAAAGTTATATATTTATTTCGTATTTAAAACATGGTTTTTAAATAAGAGCTAATTAATATTCAAATCAAGTCTACTCCCTAAACAACAGCACATATTGTTAGTTGCGTTGCTATGCAGATGACTGGTCTGTTTCCGATCTGTGTCACTGAGTTCATAACAACAAAACATCTCTGAAGAAAAAAATAATTGACCGCTCAACACCAGAACGGAAACGAAATGCTGTCTGAATGGGCGGACCAAGGAGAACGGATGACACACACATTGATTTCGTTAAACATTTAGATAATTAACGTTCAAAACCTGTTTTTGAACATCAGATTAAAAAGGCCAAAGTCTAAAGTCAATAAACTGCATTATATAGCTTGTATTCCTTGACAGCATACTACGATTTCATATACATTCATCCATATTTTTTATCACAAATTTTATAAAATATATTTGTTGTGGGGTGTATGTCTGCCCTACACGCCTACCACATTAAAAATTCTTCAAAATTAATACAAATCTAATCAATGTACAGTTTAAAAATGCAACTATGCAGCCGAAGTTAACTTTGGTAGGATTAAGGAATACAAAGACTGTTGTCGTACAGCGCCACAACCCAGAAGAAGCCATCTCCTTGCAGTACGAAATTTAAACATATCTCCCCTTCAGTAATTTGTACGTACGTCTATGCTTCATTAGACCAACAGAACAAATGCTAGTCTGACTCAGAGAGTGTCTTACCCAGGTGATACGTGTATTGTTGTTCTCGACGGGTGTGGTCTTGTCCTGCAACTGCGACGCAATTACATCCTGAAACGTCGGTTGTCGCTGCAGTTGAGCGGCATATGCCATGCGAAATGCATTTCCCACAATCGAATTCAGCTCCTCCGCCTATAAAGGAGAGAAAACTGTTTTAAAAAATGTGTCTTTCAGCAACGTAATTGCTTTGCAGGAGTCAGGAGTCTTTTCTTTATATTCTCAACGGAAGGAATTCGCGGATTGGTCGTCGCTGTCATATCCATGTCTAATTCAACGCGACCGTAGTAAATATTCAAAAGTTATCTGACTCGAAAGCGTTAGCTAAAATTATGAGGGGATTACATTCAGTCGAGGGCTAATCAGATATTTCACGTTCCCGACATTTCTGCTGTTCCAAAGACCCAGATAAGGCAGATTCTATTGTTCGTACATGGATCCCATTTATTTTCCAGGCATGCTAATTAAAAGCTGAACTTCATCGTATCGGTAGGTAGGAACAAGTTCCGTATTGAACTGCTAGCGTGTGATAAAACCACAAATCAGATTGAAGGTTTGGAATGGGAACTTGGTCTAATTCCTATTCATCCGCCCTGGAGTGTGTAGCTCTTCAAACAAAAAGCAGAGAGTGAAGTGTAATGGTGTTGCTATTCAAGAGAAATGGTTATGCTGTGGATAAAACGAAACCCGTTGGTGCAGAAACATGCTAGGAACTCTACCATTACCGTTTATCAGTTCTATCTATATTATACGAATAGGCCTACACAGGCAACGGCTGTATTATAACACGAGATTCAAGTTACTTTCACACGGCTCGTTCCTTCTTCCACGCTTTTCCGCGTCTTCACTGTAAAGCAGAATCTCAGAACAGCATTGAAACTAGAGACTACATACATTCTTCTGTGACAGGCGAAACCGAACAGTTAAATAATTGTATTAACAGAATGGCGAAATAAGAACAGCTGTGGTTTGTCGGACACAAGGCCACGTTTAGTAGACTCCATTGAGCAAATCCTTTCGAAGTCTCACGACAAACAGAATGAATAATGAAAATCCTAACACAAAAAAAAAACACATCAGAAGCATTAATGAGAGCATAACATTGTAAGATAATTAATCTGCTAAATCAGACACAAAGCAAATTACAGTTTTTGTTTTCTCACTATAATGGGTCCAAATGTCTAACATTAAGCTAATTTAAAAAAATCACAGATTTCGTTTCAAGCCTGCTTATACCAGTTAACCAAAAACTTACATCGTTTAGAATTCCCATCATTACATTACATTTACACAAATACATAAACTATCACACATTTATAACAAATGCACAGTTCAATGTAAACAGCAAGCCAGTGAAGATCGGTATAAATAACGCAAAAATAACAATGGAATGGCATAATGGTAACATAATGCAAATTACTCTTCCTTACGAAACTTTATTCCTTTCTACGACTGGCATAATACGTACTAATCAATATACCAGGTGATTCAAAAAGGACTTTACAACTTTGAAAGTGTATAGAAATTTATTCAGAAGGCTTACAGAATCGGTTGAGGTGTCATTTTGTAGCAAAACAAATCAAGTTTGACTCACGTTGTGCTGTAGTACCGAATTCCGTCACCGCGAGCGCAAGCGGCAGTGCATTTGAAAATGGCTCGAAAATTTTCTCATACCACAGTTAGACGAAGATGACCAAAAAGGACGCATTCACTTCCAGCAAGACGGCGCACCACCTCACTACCTCACAGAAGTCCGGGATTTCCTCAATAACCGTTTCCCAGGTCGGTGGATTGGTCGAACAGGGTCGATAGCATGGCCACCTCGTTCTCCAGATTTGACACCTCTCGATTTTTTCTTATGAGGTTTCATTAAAGATCGTGTGTATGTTCCACCCTTACCTGCCAATCTCACTGAGCTCAAAGCTCGAATCACAGCTGCAGCTGTAGAAGTGACACCGGATATGCTGGATCGTGTTTGGCAAGAAATTTATTTCAGGTGGGATGTCTGCAGTATCACCAATGGCAATCACATCGAACCAAAATGACTGTTTGACGTAAAACGTGATTTGGATTGCTACAAAATGACACCTCAACCGATTCTGTAAGCCTTCTGAATAAATTTCTATACACTTTCAAAGTTGTAAAGTCCTTTTTGAATCACTCTGTATTAAGCACATCCGCTAATTGGACCTTCCACATATAATTCATTAAGAGATGTTTGATATTACTTACCATAAATAATTATCTTATATCTTAAAATGGCAAATCAAAGTTGCACTGTAACAGAAGGTCTACATGCAATACCTCTCCGTCCAAGAAGCCTGGTGGGATAAAGCAAAGTTCCCAAAGTGTAGGGGGAGTGTTCTTTGCTTGTGCTGTGGTGTGCAAACTTGAGAGAAAATGGAAGAAGCATCGCTGTGGGAAGGAAAGGAAGTCGAGAGAAGTCGACATTGCACTTTTCTTTCCTCAAGGGAGTTGCAGCAGAAGACGCTTGCCGTAGTACGACAAGGCTGCTGCTTGTACGGCCTACGTTGATGGACGGTAACACGAAGCAAGCATTAGCACTATCCTCCGTTTTAAGCCCTGATTGTTGTTGCTTGTTGGGGAGAGGGGGGATCTGATTGATGGATGGACGGAGAATAATTTCAGGTTACAATGACTTGAGTTAAACTTGGTGGTAGATGAAAGCCTTCACACCTTAAGCTAGTCTAACAAACTTCTGATATCCGGAGCTCTAACAACGGACAATGCTTGAAAGAGGCTTACAACAAAAGCTTCGAGCAATAAGCTAACACAGAACACCGTCTATTTCCGGTTTCTTCAACTAATTGTTTAACGTCTCGCTATACTATTCCAAGAAACCTAATCTAATCTAACCTAACCTCAGCAACAGTTGGCATCGGGCATTTTTAAGATTCTGAAGTGTTTATTCAGTACGAAAAGCTTGAATGTTTAGAAACTAGACAGATAAGCGAATTTCTCACTTTTACCGAGTGTCTAATAGATTAAGTTAATAAAGATGGACTCCAGATGTGGTTGGTACTCGTGAATATACTGAACAAGAAGTCGCAGACAGCCGACAAGAGACAGTTCTCCAGCTTGACAATTGCGTGGGAGCTAACAATCTCTCACCCCAAAACTGGCATGTTACGAAAAGTTATACAGGGCCTCCGACTTAGAAAGTGGATTCAACTGGCTCAGGGTGGGGATCAGTGGCGGGTTCTTGTGAACACGGTAAAGAACCTTTGGGTTCCATAAAAGACGGGAAATATCTTTACCAACTTAACAACTATTAACTTGTCAGGAAGGACTCTGTTTCATGAAGTTAGAAACCAATACACCGGCAACTGAAAACGTCAAAGCTCAAAAGTAGAACATTATTTCCTTGTTTCTATGTTATAAGTGACCAGATGAAAGAGTCGTTTTTATATACAACAAACAAAATATTAATTAATTATCACTCATATATTTTCAGACTAAACATACATTTATTTCCACCTCGCGAAGTTTGAAACGAGCTTCGATTTATCATTACCAGTGAAATGAGCAAAATGTTTACCAGACTTCCACACAAACCTCAGGCAGAAGAAACCCACTGGTGACCGTCTTTAATGCATACTATAAAAATCTACTATACTGCTGACGTCCTGAGGGAGTAGTAATTTTGTCCACATTTTTTTTGCAAATAACAAGGACCCTTCGAGTTTTCCTAAATGTACCACGTCTTACTGTGATGTCTGTTTTTGCCTCTCAAAGAAGTGTTTTTTTTATTATTTCTCTCCCTTCACTTCATCCTTTGCCAACCCTCCTCGGCATATCACATCACCAACCCTTTCTATAACTCGCTCCATTTCTCCGGTTCTCTGCAAACAACTGGTCTCCCGGAAATTGGCTCACTTTGTGTTAGCGTCCTGGAGGATGGGTTGGCTCCTGTACTCCGTGGCTATCATTCACAAGGTCCACGGCCCATTGCAGTTCGGACTTGTGGACAGACTTGAAGAGGAAACATGCAAATGTTTGATGAAAGTGGACAGATATTCCCTCCAGGGAAGTGATGGAGGAGAAGGGGTGGGATAAACGAGTGCAGTGTTTGTGCAAAATTGGCATAATTCCATATGCAGAATATAACGAGTATTTAATCACACAACTCAGATTCTATAACCTAACCTCAAAGTGACTGATAACACAGTAAATGACGAAAAAGCTGAAGAGATGAAAAGCTGGCTACAAGTCTTCCTGAGCGACGAACATAGTCGCTTTCTTTTTTACAAAAACACCAATCTCAGGTTTAAGAATTAATATCGACCGTTTTACTTGTATTCTGTGATTATTTCTAGACAAATTTCTTCAGTGGTTTTGAAAATTATTTGTTTGATGACATCAAGTTTCATTACATGTTATACTACTAAATTGTTATCAACAGCAACAACTAGTAACTGATATGTCCAATTTTATTAAAAAATCTTCCGACTTTATTCTGTATTTAACTTGTATATTTTGTGTGACTGTTTCTTGATTTAATGAGTCTTCATCACCAAATCAATTATCATTATTATTGACGATAAAATGTGATTCGCGTGGATAAAATCAATGATACTTATTTTAATTACTGTCAGAGATGCTTCAAATTTTAGTACTGACTGTATAAATGATATTGGTCTTATGACAGATAGTCAACTGCATTTAAACACTGTCCATCAGCTATCTGCGTCTCTACTCGAAAATAAAATGCGCAAATGTTTGGATTTTCTTGTTATTAACAGCAATCCATTCTCTGAGGGCACCTTTTCTTTATGTCAAAGTGTTAAAATTGGTAGCTTTTAGTTTTTGTTTACATCTATCATTGTCTAATATATATATTTATTAATGCTTGAATGTCACAAGGCTTTTAGCTGTTTGCAAATACTTTAATAATGATAATGATAAACTGGAAATCACGCGGAGAAAAAGTATAGAGCCTGACTTCAAGGAATTAATCCAGCGTTTCCCTGAGAAAAAATAAGAAAAAAATATACAAAATTTGAGTAAATGTAGCGGATCATCAGACCCTAATGCAGTCCTGTGACCTCCAGGATAAGAGGCATATTATCTACTACTACATCGCAAGGTTTGCCATATTGTTGCGGGGAATTAAA